GAGTGCACGCCTCCGAGAGGTCAAAGGGGCCTTCCTGCCACCCAGAGGGCCTGCCCCTAGCACGCATCACAAACCTTACTCACCGATAAGGGAAGGCCACTCCTGACCACAGCTGCATTACTCAAGTAAAACTTCACATTTTCGGTCTGAACGACATAGTCACTCCTTTAATCCAGATGTTAAAGGAAGATTAGATGAATTATTGTTATCACTTAGAAATTCTTTTTTCTTATGCAATCTCATTTATTTAAACGTTTTGTTTTGAAATAATCAGAGACTCCACAAGAAGTTCTGAAATTAACATATAGAGTTCATGTACCCTTCCCCCAGCTTGCTCCAGTGGTGACACCATGCAGGACAATATCAAAACCTGGAAACCTACCAGCCAGGTGCAGTGGTGCACGCCCGTAATCCCAGCTACCGTGGTGGTGCACGCCTGTATTCCGAGGCTGAAGCAGGAGGATCACTTGAGCTCTGGAGGCTGAGGCTGCAGTGTGCTATGATTTTGCCACTGCACTCCAGGCTGGGCTACAGGAGACCCTGTCTCAAAAAAACAAAACAAAAGAAAACCCTGGAAATTGACATCGGGGTAAAACTGTTAACCAGCCCGCAGGCCTTATTCAGTTCTCCCAGTCTTTATGCACGTGCTTCTGTGTGTGGAGTACATGTGGCTTTGCATGTTCATGTGTGTGCCCTTGTGTGTGCATGTGTGTCTTATTTCTGTGCATTTTTAGCCCATGTGTAGATTTGTGTAACAATCCCACCGTCAAGACAGAACTGCTCCATCTCCACACAGGAGCTCCCTCATGTGACCCATTTATCCACTTAGAATTTTAAGTTTTATTTTTATTTATTTTTAAGAGCTAGGGTCTTGCTGTGTTGCCCAGGCTAAAGTGCAATGGTGCGGTCACAGCTCGCTGCAGCCTCAAAGTCCTGGGCTCAGGCAGTCCTCCCACCCCAGCCTCCTGAGTAGTTGGGACTACAGGCACGCACCGCCACACCTGGCTTAATCTTTTATTTTTTGTAGGCATGGTTCTCTCTGTGTTGCCCAGGCTGGTCTCAAACTTCTGACCTCAAGCAGTTTTCCCACCTTAGTCTCCCAAAGTGCTGGGATTACAGCCCTGAGCCACCACACCTGACCTAGAATTTTTTAGGGGTCAGTTTTCGATGAGTCAGCCTGTGGTCCTGAAGATTTTGCAACACGATGGCTCTGAACTTGTGCTGCATGTGAGTGTCATAGGCCATGTCCAAATTGCTCCATATGTCTGGCCTCTCCGGGCCGCAGCTTTTACATGATGTTTGGCTGGATATTCATGAACTCAGACAAGGCATTTAAATGGGACAGCATCCCATGCGTGACTTCTCTCTTTCTAACAGACGAACGGCCTACACCTACAACCCCGAGCCTCAGATGTACGCCCCCAGCAGCGCAGCTTCTTACTTCGAGGCCCCAGGCGGTGCCCAGGTGACCGTGGCAGCCTCGTCCCCGCCAGCGGTCCCCTCCCACAGCATGGTGGGCATCACCATGGATGTCGGGGGGAGCCCCATCGTCTCCAGCACGGGAGCCTATCTCATCCATGGGGGGATGGACAGCACCAGACACTCCCTGGCCCACACCTCCCGGTCATCGCCAGCCACGGTATGTAGGAGGCTCTTGGGACCAGCGGGGTAGGCCATGAGTATTCTCGCAGCAGCGGCGGCAGGGACGGTGAGTAAGAGGCAGCCAGAGGCCTGTCGTCTGCTCTGGGCCCAGGCGGCCCCACGATGGAGTCGGGCCAGCCTCAGATGGGCCATGCAACCCTAGGCTGGCCTGCAGAGTTCTTTGAACTTCAGTTGGCCATTGGTATCAAGAGGAGGACAAGTCATGCGTCATGGGCTATTTGTGAAAAGGGAATGAATCAAGCATCTCTCCACTGGTGGATGCTGCAGCCGCCTTTGCTGTTGTCATGATTGTTATCATTGTTAATATCAAGCTCTGAGAGGCGTGGATCAATCCATCCACACGCCTGCACTGAATCCAGCAGGGGAAGTCTCCCTGCAGCCTCTGGCGAGTTCTCACTGCCATGCCCCCCTGCACAGTCACTACTTACCTGCTCTTCCAAAGTCTCCACATTTACAACTCGATTTCCCATATTTACTTTTCATGTATTTTCCTTCTTAAATTAACACAAAGTAAAATCGACTTTTTGGTGTACAGCCCTGTGAGTTTCGACATGGGTAGATTTGTGTACCATCAGGACACAGAACTGTGCAATGCCCTGAAAACCCCCTCGTGGTATTTCTTAACAGTCACAGCCTCCCCCCATCCCCAACCCTTGGCAACCGCCGATCTGTTCCCTATTGCTGTAGTTTCATCTTTACCAGCGTGGTGTATAAATGGAATCATACAGATTGTGACCTTTTGAGACTGGCTTCTTGTACTCATTCTGGTGCCTTTGAGATTCAGTCAAGTTGTTGCATGAATCCGAGTTGTTTTTTTTTTTTTTTTTTTTTTTTTTGTTACTGAGTAATATTCTATTACGCTACAGTTTGTTTATTCATTCACTAGTTGAGGGCCATTTGGATGGTTTCCAATTTGGGACGATTATGAATAAAGAAGCCTTAAATTTCACATGCAAGCTTTTGTAAGGATGTATGTTTTCTTTCTTTTGGATATATACCTACAAGTGGAATTGCTGCTGGCTCATACAGAAAGTGTATGTTTAACTTGATCAGAAACCACCAGTTTCCCAAGTGGTTGCACCATCTTGCATTTCCACCAGCAACATACAAGAGTTCCTCTTGCTCAGCTCCGTCAGCAGCATTTGATGCTCCTGGTGCTGTTGGTATTGGCCATTCTAATAAATGTGTGGTGGTACCTCATTGTGGTTGCAACTTGCATTTTCTTTATAGCTAATGATGGTAAGCAGCTTTTCCTGTGAGTGTAGATGCTGTGGTCAGTGTCACTTCAAGTCATTTGCTCCTTTTTTAACTAGGTTGGTTGTTTTCTTATGGTTGAGTTTTTGAGAATTCTTTATATATTCTGGATACAAGTCTCCTGTCAGACATGTGACTTGCAAATATTTTCCCTGGTCTTTAGTGTGTCTTTCCATTCTCTAGAGAGTGTCCTTTGCAGAGAAAAAAAAATTTAATTTTGATCAAATCCAGTTTATCAGTTTTTCTTTTGTGGCTCATGCTTTCGATGTCACGTCTAAGAACTCTTTGCCTATTTGCACATCATGAAGATTTTCTCCTGTTTCCTTTGAAAAGTGTTATAGTTTTACTTTTGTTTTGGGTTGGTTTTTTTTTTTCTTTTTCTTTTCTTTTCTTTTCTTTTTTTTTTTTTGAGACAGAGTTTTGCTCTGTCTCCCAGGCTGGAGTGCAGTGCATCTCGGCTCACTGCAACCTCCGCCTCCTGAGTTCAAGCGATTCTCCTGCCTCAGCCTCCCAAGTAGCTGGGATTACAGGTGCACACCACCACACCTGGCTAATTTTTGTATTTTCAGTACAGACAGCGTTTCACCGTGTTGGCCAGGCTGGTCTCAAATGCCTGACCTCAAGTGATCCACTCACCTTAGCCTCCCAAAGTGCTGGGATTACAAGCATGAGCCACCGCACCTGATCATAGTTTTACATTTTACATTTAGATCTGTTTCCTGTCAAGCTAACATTTGTATAAGATATAAGGTTTAAGTTGAGGTTTTTGTTTTTGTTTTTTTTGCATATGAAACAACATGCTATTCTAGCCTCGTTTGTTAAAAAAGACTACCCTTTCTCCGTTGGGTTGCTTTAACACCTTTGTCAAAAATCAGTTGGGTTTATTTCAGAGTGTCCTATTCCATTCCATTGGTCTGTCTGCCTATCCCTTATACAAATAGCATAGACTTAATTACTATAGCTTTATAGTAAGTCTAAACTTGAATAGAATGGCTCCTCCCACTTTATTCTTCAATATTGTATTGGCTATTTATATAAACTCAAAGTTTCTGTATAAGTTTAGATAAATTTATCTGTATCTACAAAAAAATCTACTGAGATTTTGATTAATTTGCACTAAAGCAATGTGGGGAGAATTCCCACCTTTACCACGTTGAGGCTTCCAATCCATGGCCGTGGTATGTTTTCTCCATTTGTTTAGATTTTTTATTTCTTTCATCAGCATTTTGTAACTTATACAAAATTCTGTACATGTTTTGTTAGATTTATATCAAAGTATTTCATGTTTGGAGAGCTATTGTAAATGGCATTGTGGGTTTTCTTGGCATTGATCTTTAAATTTATGTTTCTAACTGTTCATTTCTAGGATTTAAAAATGGTTGATTTTTGACTGTTTATCTTGTATCCTGTAATCTTGCTGAACTCACTTTTTAGTTCTAGGAGCTTCTGGTTGCCTGCAAATATAACCACTTTTTTCTTTCTTTCCAGTATGAACAAAAAGAAATTTCATTTCTTTTTCTTGCCTTTTTGTACTGGCTAGGACTTGCAGTGAACTGTTGAAAGCAGGGGTGGCAAGAATGGTCATCCTTGCCTTTTTCCCAATCTTAAGGGAAAAGCCTTCAGTACTTCACTGCTAAGTATGTGATGTTAGCTGTAGGTTTTTCACAGATACCCTTTTTCAGATTGAGGAAGTTCCTTTCTTTTTCTAGTTTTCTGGAAGTCCCTATTATAAATAGATGTTGAATTCTGCCAAATGGGTTTTTTTTAAAATTTATGTAAGCATATTTTTTTCTTCATTAGGGTGTTGATATAATGGATTGCATTGATTGACTTTCAATTACACAATAACTTCTTTTTTGGTGTAAGGCTAATCTCCTGAGATAGAAGGTGATGGTCTAGCCTTGTCTCTGTTTTTTTGTTTGTTTGGTTTTGGTTCTGGTGTGTTTTGGAGTCACCCTGGCATCAGAGAGGCCCATGAATCTTGCTGTCCTCTCTCTTCCTATGTCCAGAGTGACTCCCAGGCCCTGGCTCTGGGGACAGGCATAGTGCCCCACGCCTCCTCCCTCTCTTCTCGGGAGGAGTCTTCTTTCTAGAGGCTATGAAATTATAGGGTAGTGTCTGCTGCTTCTACCCCTAGCCACTTAGTGCCTCGGTGCCATTAGCACCCCAGGCCAGGCAGCTCGGGCAGACCAGACATACTTCTCCCCCATGGGATTGGCTGGGTGGAACCAGGTTTAGTTGTTATGGATCAGAAAGCTTTCCTCACAGACTACAGTAATTGTCACAAATGTGGCATATTTGACTTAGCAAACTACATCAACTTATAACAGTAAAATAGACTGGGATTGCAAGTGACAAATTTACTGAGAAACAGCAGTGTTCTCTGTGGTTTCAGAATTACCTCGTTGCAGCAAACATGCTCCTCAGACCCCGGACCACCACCCTGGAACTGTGGTTTGATATCTGGATTTCTCTGGAAAAATCGAATTATTAAATCAATTAGAAATCCATGAACGGGCTATGTTTTCTCACACACACACACACACACACACACACACACACACACACACACACCCCACCAAGCTCTGGGGAAGTCATCGTCTTGGATAGGAATCTGATTCCTGGCTTCTGACTGCTCTGGTGTTTATTGGCTTGTTGTTGGCATGAGAACATCCAACAAGGATGCCACGGAAATTCGACAGACTTTCCGAGAGCCAAGAACAACAATGGCCCTGAAATTGCAACAGAAATACGACTGCTGGACCCGACATTTGATGTCTACCAGTTTGTTCATGTCAGAGTTTTGTTTCTTGGGACTATCGCTTAGTCCTAAAGACAGAGCATGAAGGCTGAAGCGAGTCCTCACTTACAGCCTCGACGAGTGATTCCAGACTCTTGGTGACCAATTTTCTCGAGTATTTATTTCCAGTTAAAATGTCATCCGTATTATAAATCTTAAAAGTTAATTGCCCAAATGGTGAATTTTTGATACACGCATTTTCTATTGTGGTTTTTTTCACTACATGGAGCAGGGACACTAAAGTGAGAGTTTTATTCTTGTCCTTTCTGCCCAAGTGGAGCCTCCTTTTTTACCCCTTGGGTTGTGTCCAGGGGATGCTGACGGTCACTCGAGGGGGAACAAGAAAGAGACTCCTCCACCCTGGGAGCTGTCCTCAGTGGGCCCTTCCTCCCGCAAGACCCAGGGCTACATGAGGCCGTGCTGTGAAAACACACAGCCTCTGAGGGTCACACTGTAGGCCCTGATGAAGAAACAAGGCCTACCCAGTTTTTATCTTTTTCAAAATTGTTCTCATACTTTAATGAATCTTTTCTCATTTTATTAGTTTAAATCTGACTAATACAGCAGAAGATAAAAAAAGTCTAGTGGATTTTAATTGTAGCTGAAGTTAAAATGTCCTGCTGTATTTTATTAGTTTAACAAGCTAAATATTCTGCCTTTGACAGCTTTCTTTTTACCCAAGAAGGGTGTCTCATGATACACCATACATAATACCATTAAAAGAGAAACTTTCGGTAAATTAAACAAGTGTCTGTCTGAGCAAAGAACAACTCTCCCGTCAGGCAGCCCTCAGAACTAGAAGAGGTTCAGAGAGCACCCCTCCCTGGTGGTCCGTGGAAGTGGCTCGCGGAGGCCCATGGCACCTCCACGCAGCAGCACAGCTCATGACAGAATCATCAGTCACACCCATCTCTTCTTCTGTA